CATCGCCGCCCCAAATCCACGCGTTCGCCTCCGACACGTCAGTGAGTTCGGAACGAACGCACCTGATTGCATCCGCAGAAGGCTTCTCGGGAGTGGTTGTGACCAGATAACCCACGGGTTCGTATCCTTGGGTACAAACCGGGAGCCAAACGTAGCAGGGAAAAGGACTCTGAGGAGTACCCTCGACGTGCCAGACGAGGGTATAGTCCGTCGGAGTCCTTAAAGCACCTCCGGAGACGTCTTTCCCGACAAGAACGCGTCCCGAGAGAGGGACATTGTTGGGCTGGGCATAGGATCCGAGCACATAGAAACCGTTGGGTACCGATGAAGGCTCGAAGAAGGTGAAGCCGGTATCGCCCGGCCCGCCTTGGGTGGTAGCCCAAACCTTAGTGAAAGATGAAACTTGGGAAACTAATAGTCCTCCAAGATCAATAACTCCACTTGCAAATCCCCCACCTGCAACATATATATTACCTTGTGTTCAATATAGTCAAACTGTTGGACGAACTTTAATCATCAATGCAAAAAGTCAAACTGGATAAATATAGGGAGACCATGTGAACCTGGAGGCCAAACGGGCAAATGAGAAGGGAGGCGAAAGGCATTGTCAACCGGAAGGGACATGGCGATGATCTTATCAGAGAATGAATGAGAAACAGAAGTTGCAGAAGAAGAAGAGGAAGAAGAAGAAGAAGAAGTACTGAAGCAATTCCCCATTGATGAATAATCTTGCAAGCAATTGTTATTATAACTTTGATGTGTTGCAGTGGATTGGAAGGATAGAGTGGTGATGAGGCAGCAAGAAGCAAACACCATTTTCTGCACCCAAAACTCATACAATAATTATATATAAAGTGGATGGGAATAAATATTGTTACAATTTATTTGTACATACGTGCAAGCAAAAGATAAGATTGATTTCATCATATCCTTAACACCACTACTAAATATTGTCTTCTTAGCTTCCAAGGAACTAATAGCTAGCTAGGTTGTGTCCAGGGCGTAACTCAAGTCGTCAATGCAAGAAGAGTTACAAAAAGGCGTCGGGTTCGAATTCTGACAACTACAGTGTCGGCATTCATGCGTTCAATAATGGCGTTGTTGAACGATCTAACTCTCTATTGATCGATCAATTAAAATTGGAGTTTTATTTATCTTCATCCATGTAAGTAAATATCTGGGCTGGACATTAGATGATCTAGATTGAGGTTCATCTTTTTTGTTTCAATATATAGGTTGTCTTGTGCAATTTTTTGTTGTGTTTATGAATAGAAAGGCACCACAGTTGCAAAACCATACAGTATATAGAGGTCGGAGGAGTGACGGCGAGAAATTGTGGTCCATATCACATTGTCCCAATCAGACGACATTCCTAAAGAATCAATTCATTCCCTTTAATTTCTTTTACGCACAACTTCAACAACCACACGTACAACCCCCTCTAGGTCTGGTCCAACTAGGCATGCGCTTAAGGATTTTAATTTTTTGGGTCCCAACATTTTTAGACACAAAAAGAATAAAGTAGAAGTAAAACATAGAAAATACGGAATATATCTTAATACTACATAGAAATTTCATATTTTATTCCCAACATGTATAATATCAAAAAAATATTGTGAAATGTCTATATATAGTACTCCGTATCACATTATTACAGTACAAATTCCTATTTTCGAGATAAAAACATGGAGTTTCTACTTTGATATTTTCTATATATTACTTCCTTCGTTTTTATAAGCAATTCCTATATTGACTTTGGACAAAAATAAGAAAAAGTTATTCAGAGTTGACTTTCTAATTTTGTCAATGATATGAGGGGTAAAAATTAATTGTAATGGTAGATTATTAGTGAAAAAGTGTGATGTGATGGGTATGGTAAGAAAAAGTAGAAAAAAAAGTGGATTTTTAATAGAAAGTGGAAGTGTTCTGGAGAAAAAAAAAATAAATTAAAAGAGGAATTGTTTTGAAAAACAGAGGGAGTATGTTTTACTCATATTTATGGCAATTTCGTATTTTTAAAACATGTTATTCATTTTCTCCATCCGTCCCACAAAATATTTTTATTTTGAAAAAAGCAAGCTTGGCCAAGCATCTTGTAGTTTTGTATCATCTTTAGTAAAATATTAAGGACACAAGGAGTATCATCTCTAGTAAAGTTTTTACGTTATCGCTAAGAATTTAAAGCAATAAATAAGAGAAAAATAATGAGAAGAACATGATCGAACAAAAGAATAGTACATGGACAAATTTATTTCAACTTTGAATATATAGAATAATTTGAACATTTTTAGATAGTATAAGAATCTCTATCCATCAAAAGACATACTCCCTCCGTCCCATAAAGTGTTATCCATATCGACTAAAGTTGAAATTAAGGGAGTGATAATTTTGTGTTGACTTTCCAAAAATACCCTTGATGTGATGGGTAAAAGTAGGATGTGATGTGTAAATTATTAAGAAAAAGGTATGATGTGATAGGTAGAGTTTGAAAAAGTAAGGGGTAAAAAGTAAGGAGAAAAAAATATTATTTATACCATACATTACGATATGATCGATCGAATCTCTAAGAAACGGAGACCAAAGAAAAAGAAACCAAATGTTAATAAAATACCTTGAAAAGAAACGGCCAATCGGGACTTGACGACGGCGACATGATGGATCGCCGGCGGCGACGGCGGCAAAGAGGCGATTATAAATGCGATCGGTTGCTCCCGGCCGTATTAATGTGGGGACGGGACGGGGTTTTCGTGGCCGGTTGTTTTTATTTAACTAACACTCCGATATTTATGAAACGACAACGGAAATCACAGTGTTTTCCGGTGAGGAAGCGCGCCAGTTGAGTGGGCTCCACCCACTCTTTCAGGAATGATAATGCATTTCTTCAAAAAAAATCAGTTAATAAAAAAGGGAAAAGACAAGAGTAATGGTAAAAAGGGCTCTTTGTTTAAGCCTCTTAATGGTTCAGATCTGAATGATTCAGTACTTAATGGTTCAGACTGTTTGTTTCAGCCTCTTAATGGTTCAGATGTCTGAATGGTTAAGACATTTGCCTCTGAATAGTTAAGTATTATACAGAGTCTGAATGGTTAAGACCTCTTATCTGAATTGATCAAACATTTACCTCTGAATAGTTAAGCAATATACTAGCTCTTAATGGTTCAGACATCTTACTGGTTCAGCACTTAATGGTTCAAACCTCTTACTGGTTCAGCACTTATCTATTCAGAAGTTACCAAACAGCCCCTAACTATTATCATTTTTGTATGTCTGTGCAAAGAATGCGGCCACTCATATGTAAAGATTACTTTAACTGCATCCAATAAAGGAAGTGTTATATATCCCAACTTACGGGTTTTTATTGTCGATCTAAAGAATAGATCGAAAAGAGAAATTAAACGATGATTTCAATTTGATTAGGATCATGTCTATCCAAAATGACATACATAGCATGTAATAAAAACCATTAATTCTTTCACTATCTCACCCTCTTCTCTTACGTTTCATTTCATTGGTTTAAGTGTTTTTCTTAAACAAAACATCAAGTTCATTCTATCTCCATTACCATTCAATTAAGTACAAATTAAAAATTAAAGAATGTGAAATCCTACCTATCAGCTTAAACTTTTAGGCTAGAAAGTAGATCTCGCTTTGTAATGTAAGTGATTAATTTTATTGATTCAATACCGTTTCAAGGTAAACCTGACTTATACTTGTTAACCTTTAATTGACTCAGTACTCGCTCAGAAACTTTAGATTGGGCAGTACTGGTTCCCCTTCAATTGAAAGAGTAAGTGTATTTTGCACCGTCGGATTGAACTACTTCCACTAAAAGTGATACACTTGTCACAATTTCCCAAAATTTGAGTACTAACTCGATACGTCCTAAAATAATAATTGTCTCACTTAAAAAGTGTAAAAAAAATTATTTTGTTTATAAATTGGTATAAAAATTAAAAATATAAATTTTTATTTTAAGGCTACATGAAAAGTTCTCCAAAAATACCTCATCAAAAATTCTATAAAACGGAATGTGATAAAAATATTTTATTTTATCTAATAATGAATAAAAACACAAAAATAATTAAAAATTATTGGGATACTAGAATAATAGCTGAGAAGATTATTTTAAAATGGAAAGAGTTTATGTTTAAAATGTGACTCCTCCAAATTTATCCATTGGAATATTTTATGATTTGCATAAATGTACTTCGTGTCTTGAATACGGGTGAAATATGAAATATTTGTACTCCCTCCGTCCCATTTTATAACGCCTGTTTCGATTTACGATGTTTGACTGAAATTATTTTCAAATCATTTTATATGACAAATGGTATAAAGTTAAAAAATAAAAATTACTAGTGGTGACAATAATATTTTATTTTGTCAAATTGCTAACGAAAATAGAGAAAGAAAGTGAATGAAATTTGACCATGTGAATAGTGAACATGCATTATAATTTGAGACGGAGGGAGTACTAAATAGCACTAAAACTTAAGTCATTTCCTTAAATGGCATTTAAACTGTTTTATTCTCTAAATAGTACTTAATAATGTCCATAATGTCCAGTGATAGTGAATATTTGCTTGAATAATGACTAATGCATAATGACTAAAAGTGCCACATTGGAAAGAAAAACATATGTGATGCTATTTAGGGAAAATAATTATGTTTTAGTGCTATTTAAGTAAATTTCTCGGTGAAATATTGTACTCCATAGTACGGAGTATATATTACGGAGTAAGAAATAAGAAATACTAAATTAAGACTAAAACGTAATGCATATTTTTCCTCCCTCCCTAAAAAATTATCTTTCCCAAACAATGTATAAAATATCGTCTCTTTTAAATTGATGATATTAACAAATTTATAAAGAAAAATGTCAAATTACATATTAAAAACTATATCAAAAATTTTACGAAACGTGTATGACAAGAATATCTTATATTATCAAATACACGATAAAAAAGCATACGCAAACAAAAATTATCAGAAGCCCAAAACAATAACAAGGCCATTTTTTGGGGGATGGATATATGGTAGGTGTAGTAAAATACAGAGTAAGACTTTTGATGTTTTTATATCAAAATAAGACTTATAATGTCATTACAAATCCAAGACATATTGCAAGAAATATCGTGAATTCAAACACATGATGCCAAATAATAAGTTCATTGTGTCAATACTCATATTTAGAGCATAAAAACATAACTAAGTCTCATTTTTATACAAGTTATTGTTGATTAAAAATGTCACGGCCATGTTTGTTCATCTCCAATCCAACTCTCCTTCCACTTTGGGCCAATTGGTCCACACTCGCCCATAACCTCATTGGGTAGCTTAATAATCTTTCCAAGCTTCAACCTTTTCAAATCCTTTCCTAAGTCATAAGTTATATTTGGACCCCAAAGGTAAGAATAGTTCACCCAAAATGGCTCAACAACCACCCCATCACCCAAATATTGTGCAGAAAGAAGTGTGAAGTTTATTCCGGTGTCCATAACGGGCGTACCCTTTCCACAGTCGTTCCTAATTTGCACCTTTCCACCCCCCAGCAAGTTTGCCCCTTGCTGGGGGAATGCAGCGTGGCCACATTTGGACGAATAAACCACTGGCTTATTCGTCCCATTCTGGAACTCGAGCTGAGAAGGGCTCAGCCAAAGACCCCCGCCGTGCTGGGAGTAGAACACGCTCTTTAACTCGCCATTGAAGTTGCTGATCCTAAGAGTCACGTGCTCCCAGTCTCCCACGTGTTCGCCTACTTGGTCCAAGTGGAAAGTCCCCAACTTGGTTTTGATACTGGCGGGACCGTTGAAGGGGTAGAATAACCAAACGGCGAAATCCGTGAATGTCGCGCCGAACATTGGCTTCACATGTACATAGGCTGATGCATTTTGCAGGTTACCTCTCTTCAGACGATCCCTGGCTGTATCATTCCCTGGGAGAGCCAGCCAGTGATTGCCTGATAATGAGGGGTTTATAGGAAGAAGTTTTGCCAAGCTCGAATTGAACATGACCGGCGGTTGCGATTCGTTCCCTTTGGTGTACAGCAATGCCCCGTTCTCCAAAAACCACTCGACCGAAGATGGGAGGAATGCCTCGTTCGGGTGGAAGTACACCGTTGGATTGTACGCTTTCATCAGCTCATGGATTTGGGTCAAGTTTGGCATCGCAGATGACAAGTTTTGGTTTTTGTTTCTCAAGCAAGGCAGCTGAGGCAATGAAGAGGAAGATGTTTGGAGAATAAATGAACCCGTAGGCACCCCGGGAGATTGGGTCCCCACCTCGAGCGGCAGGGTAGTGAAAACTTGTACCCCATCAATGTCCCAAATACTTTCGTTGGTTTTCGACGCATTGGTGAAATCAGACCGGACGCACCTCATTTTGTCAAGGGATGGCTTCTGAGGGTTGGTTGTCACTAGGTAGCCAACTGGTACATAACCATATGTACAATTGGGCAGAAAAAAGTAGCCTGGACCGGGACTAACAATTTTCGTGTTGTTTTCGCTGCTCCAGACGAGCGTGTAGTTGATTGGGCTCTTTAAGGAACTGCCAATGACATCTTTCCCGACGAGAACCCATCCAAAACGCGGCATATTGTTCGGTTGTGCGTATGTGCCAAGCATGAAGAATCCATTGGGGAGTGATGATGGCTCAAAGAAAGTGATGCCAATGTTGTCAGCTCCACCTGCGCTGGTATTCCAAACCTGAGTCAGGTTTGATACTTGAGCCACTTGTAGTCCTCCAAGGTCAATGGTTCCACTTGCGAACCCCCCCGGTGAGCCTAAGACAATCCAAGAAAACACATCTCACTGATAGCAGTGGCAATAAATAGGACCTTAGCGTTTGGAAAAAGATGTCCAATGATAGGTGTTTAGCATTTTAATGCCATTTCCAAAGATGGTTCTAAAACTAGATCTCCAAAAAATTGATATGACTTTTTTTTACTAGATTCTCGACTCAAAAATACTAGATCTTGAAGAAAAACTTTGCAAATCAAACCCGAAATGACCCGCTAAAATTAGTTCAACCTCATTTGTTTGACCCAACAAAGTTTTTTTCAAAAGAGAGCGTCTAAACTGACACCAATTACTTACACCAGTTCATTTGAGGTATCTACGCTGCCTCGTTTGTAAAAATGACGGTTCCTACCCCTAACCCCCCTAAACCCTTCACCCCAGTGCCACCCTAGCCCCCCCTCCCGCCCCCTCCCTACCCTGGCAGTATACGCCAGGGTAGGGAGGTGGGCGGGGGCTAGGGTGGGGGGCAAGGGCGGGGCTGGGGTGCGGGGTTTAGGGGGAGGGTTAACGGGGGGTTGGAATCATCATTTTTACAAACGGGGCACCGTAGGTACCCCAAACGAACTGGTGTAAGCAAATGAAATCAGTAGCACTGGTGTCATTTTAGACTTACTCTTTTCAAAATTACATACTCCGTACTTTAATACTCCGTTGTGATAAAAAATGGTATAATTTTGTTTTTTCATATTACTCTTTTGTAGTGTATAAACTTATCTTTTAAAACAAATTTTTAATATCCCGTATTATTATCTAACTCTTTTTCCCAAATATTATACATATTTAAATTTTTTTTATATTATTTACTGAGTTATAAATGTGTTGCATATATCGAAAAATTAATGAAAATTCAAAAGAGAATATCATAATAAATTTAATATACATATATTTCATATTTTTATTACTCCGTGTTGTTTTATGAAAAATGGAAGTGTTAGCATAAATTTTATTATTCTGAAAATAAATGAATCGACTCAAACCCAAATTTGAAAGAACCAAACATGAACCCGACCTGACCGAAATATTTCCCAGTTATAATCAAAACCAACCTTGTGTGTTTTTCGTGTGTGTGTGTGTGGGGGGGAGGGGGGGTGTAGAGAAGAAAGTACCTTGAGTCAATTGGGGCAAAGGAGAAGGGAAAGTGAAGACATTTTGAATGGGGGGTGGCGATGTGTCTTTTTTCAAGGATGACTCTAGACGAGACCGGGAATAAGTGATATTCTTCTCTCCACTTGATTTACCCTTCAATGTTGATTTATCCTCCAAGCAATCACTTTGTATTGGAAGTGATGAAAGGAACAAGATGAGGCAAAGAAATATGATACCCTGCACCTAAAGCAATATTGTCTTGTTAGCTCCCCATGTTGATCAATGTTTAGTTTGGCCTTCTTTTTTTCAATTTTAGAGATTGAATACACTGTGTTAAACAAAACTAGAAAAAGTTTATGAATCAACAAAACTTATTGATGAATGGTTGCCAAACAATAGTCATCAAATTTAACTCTTCTCCTAGCTGGCTGCTTATATAAACTAGTACTAATTCTATGAATTTTCTATTTACTTTTTGTGTTCATCCATAAATATTCTTCTCATTTCTTTTTATATCAAAAAAGTATGCCTTAATTCTTAAATGTCAAACTATCTTTTAAATTTTTGATGATTAGGTATCAAATCATACATATAAAGTTATTTTTTTTTTGATATTCTGTCTTTCATTAATACTCCCTCCATGGCTGGAATTAATTGTCCGATAAGGAAGCTTGATTGGATTTATTTTCAACCAATTTATTTAAATAATACTACTAAATTTAAAAAATAAGTACTCCGTAAACAAAAAAGTCTATGTGCCCGGTGAAGATCGAGTTAAGGAAGAATTCAGGAGTGATGAAATATGTGTGTAAGGTCAAATTGAGAAAACAATTCTTGGACAAATGGAACACTTGCTTGTGATTGGTGGACGGGATCTCCATCCCAAAAAATGTTATCCCCCCATGTCGGCCATGTTCTTTTGACTTTGAGGTGAAAACATTAACCTTTAATTTCAACTTAATTCCTTCTAATTTCTTTTAACTTTTTCACATTCTTCAAGTTTCTTCCAATAACGATTTAAAAAATGTTATTTATATATAATTAATATAGAATACTGTTATAGATTCAAATCTAAAACATTTAACCTCAAACACGACAAGTATGAATTTTTTTTCTATTCAAAATTAGAGTTTTCAAACATATTAAGGGAAAAAAACTAAAGTAGGAGTAGAACATTGAAAATATACCAGAATAGGAGTTCCATATTTTTATTCATGGAATAGGAGTTACAATGCATTTACGTTACCAATTATAACCATGTACATTACGTAAAATATACATGTACAGTGTCACATTACCACAATGCAAACAGCTATTTGGAGAATAAAAACATGGAACTCTTACTTTGGTACTTTCTCTGTGTTTTAGTCCTATTTAGCGTGATTTTTTACATATTTTATTTGGGTGATCATTTAATTAGATGACTTTTTAACACTTTAATTCTTACAACGTTTTCCAACTCTTTCCAGTTTCTTCCAACTCTTTTTAGTTTATTCTAAAAATACGATCTTATTTTATAATTGTATTATTCCCTCCGTCTCATATATATTTTGCGGGCAATATTTTTAAACTTTGACCATAAATTACGGAAGAATACATTAAATTTTGATATAAATTTAATAATTATTTCGAAATTTAGTTTTAAAATATCATATTTTTATAATCTACACTTATAATTTTATATTTTATGTTTATACGAAGTACATAAATAGCTAGAGATATTAACGGTCAAAATGTTGCAACTGTGAAAAATGAAATAGGAAGAAAAATATACTCCCTTCGTCCCATATTGTTTGTTACGTTTCGAACGACGAGCAAAATATCATATTTTTAAAAATTATTTTATTTACAAATTGGTAGAAAATAAAAAATAAAAATAAAACCATGAAAAAGTATATCAAAAACTTTAAAAAATAAGATGCGACAAAAACATTTTATAAACAAATAAAAGTCTTTGGGAGAAAGACCAAACTAAGACTAAAACATTGAAAATATACCAAAATAGGACTTCCATATTTTTATTCCCGAAATAGGACTTACATTACCAAACATGGTCATATACATTACCAAAAAAGTATAGTAATTTGCACATGTACATTGTCACATTACCACAATGCAAAGTCACATTACCACAGTGCAAAGTCCTATTCCGGGAAAAAAAATACTCCCTCCGTCCTATAATGATCTTCCCAGAGCACTATTCCAACTTCACGGGAATTTATATTTATTTGTGTTTTTTCATGGCCTATATGATAAAATAAAATATTCTTGTCACCACTTGTTTTGTTGAACTTTTGGTGTAGTTTTTAAATATGTATGTTTTATTTTTTATTTCTATACCAATATTTAAATAAAATAGATTGAAAAAACTTGGGATTTTTCTTCGTTTTGCGAACCGGGAAGATCATTATAGGACGGAGGAAGTATGAAAGTCCTATTTTGGTACTTTTCTCTATGTTTTAGTCCTATTTAGGATGATTTCTACAAATTCGGAGTAAAAGTTATGAAAATGGTACCTCTGACATTCGTTTTTGGAAGGAGTAGGATGCAGGTAGTATTTGGCAGCAGCATCTACATAGTGAGAGATTTGAATTTTGAAATACGGAGTAACATTTGAATTCAACCTTGTGATTAGTACTCAATAATTTCCGTAAATTTCAGGCTCATCTTTTTTTTTTTGACGGTTTCAACCTCATCTCTTTTTGTTTCGTGAGAAAAAGTAAAAGTAAATAGTAGGTAGTAGAAAGGAAAGAATAATGTGCTGTACATTTGCTCAGGCACACAGGAAAACAGATAGAAATGTCTGTAATAATTGGAGTCGGAGAGGTATAAATTCATTTCCTCCGGGAAAAAAACCTTCTGATCGGCCAGAATTCAACTGTGCAAACTGCTTTATTGAAATCGTGACTTCAATCGGACTCCGATAAGATGTTAAAAGCGGACAAATCCAACAAAAAAAAAGGCTTAATTAAGCTTGAGTGAGTGCCGTACCTTGGAAATAAACAGTCGGCCGGAGGCGGACGCCATGATCGCCGGCGAGGTCGGGGAGGATGAGAAGCTGTAACAGAAGATTCGAACGCGGCAGATCTGAGTCTAAGCCACAGTCCGCGTTGCAGTAAGTTCTGCAATTACTGGTGAATTGAAGAGGAAGAGAGAGGAGGGGGAGGAAAGGGGGGATTTTGGTGGTTTAATTTGTAACTAACAGATGAAGCGGTATGAATGAAAGAAACGGTAACGGAGATGGCAGGAGGGCAAAATGGTGATTGAGCCTCGAGCTAAGGAGAATTTATGTGGGAGTTTGATTGGTTTTCTCTCCCTCATTTTCTAGGGTGTGCTGTTATTAATCCCAACATTTTTTCAATAGATTTTCTATTTAAAGGATTATGTCCCTAACTCTAATTTGTACCCCGCAGTTTTGCACCAACATTTTGAGTTGGTGTAAAACCAATTTTTGTTAAACGCACCAACATTTGTGTCCGTATGAATTTTTATTAACGCACCAACACTTGTGTCGGTGTAAACCATCGAAATGTTCGTGCAAACACGTGGTGTACAAATGTGGTATACTTTTTTGTGTAAGTGTAGCATGGTCCTTTTCTAAAAGCACAATATGACTGAATGATGGGCGCACTACCCCACACCCCCTCCCTCCCCCTCCCCGATCGGGGCACAACGTGATGGGCGTCTACACACCGACCTCCACCACTGATAAGTTTTGAATTTTTCCTCTTCGACTGTTGGTTCTAAAGTTTAAAAAAAAAAAGTTTTTTGACTGGTATGACAATTGGGATCGGAGTTAAAAAAAAATCCTTCTTTATTTAACTCACTTCTTCTATCCCAATTTTTTAAATCAAATTCTCTCCACTTAATGCTTCTATTTTTCTCTCTTTTCTCTTTTTTTAACACTCCCATTTTTTCCATATTTATTTCATAAAATGGAAACAAAACAACAAAACGGAATCGAGTTTTAAATTTAGATTTAAAGGAACTAAGAATCACACAAACGAGTACTGATAGCCTTCCACTGATAAACCAGGCGGTGTTGATGAAAATGAAAGACAAAATTGTGAACCAATAGCTTGGAGGGAGCAACAGTGACCTGTAATTTTTATCACTATTAAATAATTTATTGTATCTTTTTTTAATTTTATTATACTTCATCCGTCCCATAAAAAAGTTCTCATTTTGACTATAAATTGGTCAAACTGTTGCATACTTTGACCTTAAATTAAATATAATCTAAATAAAGAAATGCTAAAAAAATTTGAGATATCAAAACTAGATCCTAAGATGAATCTAATTATATAAAATTTATTTCATAATTCAATATAACTTTCTCACAATTTGTAGTCAAAGCGTGTAAATATTTGACTAAATACTATTCAAAATGGGAACTTTTTTGTGGGACGGAGGGAGTACATTTTTAATTAACTTTTTCAGTCACCAACTTTATTTAATGTAATATTTTGCCCTGTTAGCTTATTTGCATATAATACGTGTATTATACATACGTACGTTTAATTTACGTATTATATGTAGAAATACAATTTTTTTTAATCCCAAACGTGTTTACGAATGAAATCATAAAAATAATTAAAAGATCGAAACCTGGCAGCGACCGTTGTGGGGGCGACCACCTCTGAAAAATGGGGGGAGTCTCTGGTGCGCACTAGAATATGGTCTAGCTAAGTGTCGTGCTTGGGTCACCGTGATTTACCTCCTCTCACACTCCCGTCGAGTCGGGGGTGAGGGGCACCTGGGGTGAGCGATTTCACCTTTTGGAGAATAAAAATAATTAAAAGATGCTTCTATCAACTACAAGAATCGAAATTTGGAAGGCCAAAATTTGGATTAGATCAAAATTATCAAATTACTTAATTTTCTTTCTCCTCCAAATACAAATCTTTAAAATTTTGCTTCATAACAATCATAGAATTGAAGTAATAGAAGTCGGATCGCAATTCGATTCATCCACCAACATATGTTTGTTAATTAAATAACATCCATGGTCTACATGTATCTACAACTCCATCCGGCTGGGAATACAACGCTCCAACCACTCTGCCGAAAAGTAGGCAATAATATTCCCTCTATTTATTTAAAGTTCTAAAATGTAATCATGTTTTTGTATTTTGTTCTTGAGGATAATCAATAATCCACTTTTAAGAATAGAAATTTGATTTTATTTGTCAAGTCCAAATTTTAAAATTCAAAATTTGTAGCTGTGTTTTTCATTTTAAAAATGAAAAATACAAAGTTGTTTTCATTTAACTTAATTTTAAGTTGTCTAAGATGTTGAGGTAATTTATCTAAATAGGACTGATGGATTAGAGATTTTTCCTAATCCAATATTATTTGAACAATACAAGAAAGCCCAATTTTATCTGGCCCAAGATATAAATCAGATAAATAATTCAAGACAGAACCAGAGATATATGGACAGAAGAATATATTTGAGGTGATATAAAAATATTCCGTGGAGCCCATTTACAAAACATGTGCACATGGAGGTGACATGGCCACCTCATGGCATTGTTGGGGATGCATGCATGTACTCCCCTTTAAATACAAGGCTACGCAGGACGGAAGGGGGGAGGCCAAGACTAGATTCATACAAGTTCCTACTACTATATTCTTCATTCTTCTTCTTCTTTTAGCTTGGAGCTCCATTAATGACTCCAAGTTCCTACAATGATGTATATGTAAACTCCCTCGAGATTAATAAAAATTCCTCCCCCTTTGGCATGGCACCGCCTAAAAAGGCCCGTGGTTTTCTCCCGATTTGGGTTTCCACGTATAAATACTTTCTCTCCGCTTTATTTATTTACTTAATTTTCGGATTTCGCTATTCGGTGCGGTGCCGACCCGGTACCGATTTCATCGGGTCGACGCCCCGAAAAAGCGGTTTCCATCACTGGCGCCACCCGTGGGACCGTCACAAAAAGCTTTTGTGCTCCGAGTCCGTAATAGAGAAAAAAGGTGGGTTGAGAAAGTAAAAAAAAACAAAAAAAATGAGGAGGGATACGAAGTGAGGATCAAGAAGAAGAAAAAAATAGAAAAGTCAGAGAAGGAGAAAAGAAACAGAAAAAGAGAGAGAGGGACGGTCCGCCAGATCCAAATCAATCCGGTCCACCAGCAGTGCCCTCCACAAGGACGGAGAGCAGCGAGCCAGTGTGAAGAACAACAGGGATCTTCCCGGCGAGCAGCGAGCACGCGGTAGGGCTGCCGGCAGTACCCTCCACCAGGGTCGGTGATTATCCTCCCAGACCGGTGAGCCCTCTAGCGTGCTTCATCCCTGGCGGTATCCAACAGCGAGCCATACCACTAGCAATTGTCTACTCCGGCGAACCTTGGCCCGGAAGAAGCAAGCACCCACTTCCTCCGGCGAGCCACGGATAGCAGCGGCGGGCTTACGACGAGCTCCCACTTTTTCGGCGAGCTGTGGATGGCAGTGGCCGCGATTGGTCTAGTTCGTCCATCAAGCCCCTACTACTCCGGCGAGCCTCATCGACAACAAACGGGCCTTCATCTTCGACGAGATCCAGCGAGCTCCGACTTCCTCCGTCGAACCACGGACGGAAGTGGCAGGCCCCTCTCCGCGTTCCTCTCCGGCAGTCCTCTTCGCGATCCTTTCCGGAAGTCCCCTCTCTAGTGGTCCTCTCCGCGGCCCTCTCCGCGGTCCTCTCCGTGGTTCTCCCCGCGGTTCTCTCCGACGGTACTTTCCGGTGGTCATCTCCGCGGTCCTCTCCGGCGGTCCTCTCTGGCGGTCCTCTCTGCGGTCCTCTGTGGAGGTCCTCCCCGTGGTTCTCTCCGGCGGTCCTTTCTGGTGGTCCTCCCCGCGGTCCTCTCCAACGGTCCTCTTCAGCAAGCTAGGAACGGATCTTGAGCACTCCAGCTTTAAAGATCCCAAAAATGGAAGTATCTAGCCTTAAATGGACCATTCCAACTTCAAGGATCCATCCAATGGAAAGATTTGGCCTCCTGTGGACCGCTCCATCTTCATAGGTCCTTCACATGGACGGATTTCGTCTCAAGTGACTACTTCACCTTCAGAGGTCCCTCAAATGGATGGATTTTGCCTCAAGTGGACCGCTCCATCCTCATAGGTCTTTCACATGGACAGATTTGGCTTCCAGTGGACCGCTCCATCTTCATATGTCTTTCACATGGATAGATTTAGCTTCATGTGGACCGCTCCATCCTCATATGTCCTTCCCATGGACAGATTTGGCCTCCAATGGACCACTCCATCTTCATGGCTCCTTCACGTGGACGGATTTGGCTTCTAGTGGACCGCTCCATCTTTATAGGTCCTTCACATGGACAGATTTGACCTCCAGTGGACCGCTCCATCTTCATATGTCCTTCACATGGACGGATTTCTTCTCAAGTGGACTGGTTCACCTTCAGAGGTCCCTCAAATGGATGGATTTTGCCTCAAGTGAACCGCTCCATCCTCATAGGTCCTTCACATGGACGGATTCTGCCTCAAGTGGACCGCTCCATCCTCATAGGTCTTTCACATGGACAGATTTGGCTTCCAGTGGACCGCTCCATCTTCATATGTCTTTCACATGAACAGATTTAGCTTCATGTGGACCGCTCCATCCTCATATGTCCTTCCCATGGACAGATTTGGCCTCCAATGGACCACTCCATCTTCATGGGTCCTTCACATGGACGAATTTGGCTTCTAGTGGACCGCTCCATCTTCATAGTTCCTTCACATCAACAGATTTGGCCTCCAGTGGACCGATCCATCTTCATAGGTCCTTCACATGGACGGATTTTGGCCTCCAGTGGACCGCTCCATCTTCATGAGTCCCTCATATGGATAGATTTGACCTCCAGTGGACCGCTTCAACTTCATGGGTCCCTCAATTGGACGGATTAAGCCTCTGGTTGTCCGTTCCAAATTGTATAAGTTGATAAAAGTAATAATGTAAAAGAATAGAAAGTAGAGATCAGTAATTAGATCAAGTGATCGGATTACTGGAGATAGTCATAGACTCCCGTACCGAGGTTGAGGAAAGATAGGATAAGGAAAAGGATTGGGGCTTAAGGATGGGCTGAAGCCCAGCCCATTAAGAACAAGCTACCCAAAAGGAAGGAATCCTATGAAAGAGATTAGAGTAGCCCCCCCCCCTCAATTAGAGGGACAGGGACGAAGAGAAAGGTGGACGGAGATTGTCTATAATTCAATAAGAGCAGAGCGTCCAACCACCGTCAAATAAATATCAGGTGGGGGTTTAGAGGCTCCCGAAGAATATTGAAAAAAGAGCCCCGAGCAAAGTCCTCTTCCCAGAGGCAACGAATCCCCGAGAAAAGTCCTCTCCCAAGAGGTACCGAGCTCTGAGAAAAGTCCTCTTCCCTGAGGCACCAAGTCCTCTTCCAAAGAGGCACCAAGTCCCAAGAAAGTCCTCTTATAAGAGGCCCAAATCCCCGAGAAAAGTTCTCTTCCAAGAGGCACCGAGTCCTCTTCCTGAGGAACTAAAAAGAAAGAAAGGTCCCCTTCTAAAGAGGCACAAAGTCCCGAGAAGGTCTTCTTCTAAAGAGGCATAAAGTCCCGAGAAGGTCCTCTTCTAAAGAGGCACAAAGTCCCGAGAAGGTTCTCTTCTAAAGAGGCAAAAAGTCCCGAGAAAGTCCTCTTCTAAAGAGGCACAAAGTCCTGAGAAATCCTCTTCCAAAGAGGCACAAAGTCCCGAGAAGGTCCACTTCTAAAGAGACACAGACCCGAGAAAGTCCTCTTCCAAAGAGGCACAAAGTTCCGAGAAGGCCCTCTTCTAAAGAGGCACAAATCCCTAAGAAAAGTCCTCTTCCAAGAGGCACCAAATCCCCGAAAAAAGTCCTCTTTCAAGAGACACTAAGTTAAATCCTTACCCACGAGGTAACGAGGCCCTCCAAAAAAGAAAGTCCTCTTGTCGAGGTTCCAAGAAAAGTTTTATCCCATGAGGCAACCCACTGAGTCATATAATTTTGAATCTGTCTCGTTCCCTAAGATAGACTCAAAACTAGGGGGGCATGTGATGGATTAGGGATTTTTCCTAATCCAATATTATTTGAACAATACAAGAAAGCCCAATTTTATCCGGCCCAAGATATAAATCAGATAAATAATTCAAGACAAAATCAGAGATATATGGACAGAAGAATATATTTGAGGTGATATAAAAATATTCCGTGGAGCCCATTTACAAAACATGTGCACATGGAGGTGACATGGCCACCTCATGGCATTGTTGGGGATGCATGCATGTACTCCCCTTTAAATACAAGGCTACGCAGGACGGAAGGGGGGATGCCAAAACTAGATTCATACAAGTTCCTACTACTATATTCTTCATTCTTCTTCTTCTTTTAGCTTGGAGCTCCATTAATGACTCCAAGTTCCTACAATGATGTATATGTAAACTCCTCCGAGATTAATAAAAGTTCCTCCCCCTTTGGTATGGCACCGCCTAAAAAGGCCCGTGGTTTTCTCCCGATTTGGGTTTCCACGTATAAATACTTTCTCTCCGCTTTATTTATTTACTTAATTTCCGGATTTCGCTATTCGGTGCGGTGCCGACCCGGTACCGATTTCATCGGGTCGACGCCCCGAAAAAGCGGTTTCCATCAAGGACCAAAAGATAATTACTTTCTCAATATAAGACCATATGTTTTTATTTTCCAATGTAGGACCATTGGTCATTATCTATTAGTCATGATTCAAGTAAATGTCCAGCATCACTTGGACATTATTCTTCTCTTTAATCATTATTATGTCTTATTTAGGTAATAAAAAAGTTTCAATTTTACATTGAAGAATGACTTATATTTTAGTCATATCCAGTGCAAATTTCATAAGATGTTATTTAGTGAATTCATATTTATATTTATAGAGAGACTTGAATCTTCTCTTAGACATCATGATGCGCATTAGATTCATAAAGCTCAAATGGTCTAATATGTAGTACGAAGTATAATTCATGGCATGTCTCAAACGCATCTATCCTTCGTTCTTGAATATTAGCTTCATTTTTGTAAACTTGTTCTAACTTTGAGATTACACAATAATAGTTAGAATGAACTCCAATGAAGATATATTTTGGATAATGTTTATTGGAAAAAAAAAATGAACAAACAATATATCATACGGAGTAGTATTGATTGAATTTTTATGACGTATTTGTATTCGTTTTTAATTTAGAAATGCATAATTAGACATATTTTTAAAATGTGATACATGTGCATTCAAATACTCATATCTAAATAAGCTAACATATATATTGTCTTACTTTTTAGCTTTATATTTGATACAGAAAATGAATTATAATATTTAATTAGTTATTTATTACTCCCTCTGTCCACCATAGATTTTCTCAGACACTATTCACAGGGTCAAACTTTAATCACTTTGTTTGCTCATTTTTACTAGTCATTTCATAAAATAATATAGTCTTGTCACCTCTAGTTTTGTAGAACTTTTCATGTAGTTTATTACTATATAAATTTTATTTTAAAATTTTACTCCTATAATGAATTAAATTAAATTGAAAATAAAGTCGGTCAAGCATCGTAACGCGTAATGGGAAGATCTTACATGGACGGATGGAGTAATTAGTAGTATTATATACGCAATCATAATTGGTTGGATTGACACAAATTCACACACAGTTTATGAAAATATTCAAAATTAAAAAGAGAACTGTTTATGTTTGGTCACGACCCGTGACAAATTGCAACATCACTTTAGACTTTGCGACCACTATATTCTTTGCGTGAGGTGGACGTCATGCTGACTCACGGTGCGGAGAATATACACATTACCTCATACTCTTCATCATCATCCATCCATAAATTCCACTACACCCCTTAATTTATAACGAATTCTACACTGTATCTAAGCCTCTAAGGTCTATCATAGGGTTATATATGAGTAAAAAGTAATTTTTTTAAAAAAAATTATGTTAGAAGATCCAAAAAGTTATATGCACCCAAGGTGCACCATAAAAGCATTCTAATCTTATCTAAAAAAGGAAAAGGATGAGCCCACCCTGAAGGTTCTCTCAAATCCAATCGAACGGTCACTAAAACAAAATAAATTAGATTCTGATCGCAGACTGGTGTCATGAAATAGAGGTTGTATCTGATACCTATAGAGATCATATCCTTAATATAGTTGTCTCCCAGCGTAGTTATGAGAACTCAACGTACTTCTATAATTTTATCTAAGACTTTATATTTAGTATGTTTGTCCTTTATGTTTCGTTGGGATCAGGAGAGAAAGTAACAGAATATAAAAGGAAAGAATTTTTTTAAAAAATGTGAAAATTTGACTGGGATGGGGAGAAAACAAAGGGAACGAAAAAAGGTTGGTTGAGAAATATTTCTTTCCTCTCAAAGTAATACTTACCGTTGACTTTGCACGGAGTTTAAAAAGAGAAATTATGTGGTTAAAAAAGTTACGATGGAGAGAGAAAAAAAGTAAGTCACAAATTTTTTTTTGAAAAAGGAATGGAAGATTAATTTGACACAATCCAAAAAAAGAAATCAAAATAATTAATCAAAATAGTTAATTCGGATAATACTGAGTATTTGTTAATTGGAGTATACTCCATTATGATAATTATATGAATAAAAAAGTTTATTTTTTTAAAGGTAAAAAAGAAATTAAATTCTATTTTGAGATGTTTTTACAAAAATGAAAAATTCTTTCATACCTTTAAAAAAAATAAACTTATTTAATTATTCACTTCATTTTTTCTATCTTTGAAAGATAAGTTTTCTATAAAAAATTTAGTGTTATTATATTTATATTTATTTATATTAAATTATTATGATTTTCTGGCCGGGTATTATTATTTTCTTTTTTGTGTTTTTGAGAAGTCATATTAGAAAAGGAACTACGAAAGAGTTTGATGTCTTGTGTAATTAGACTTAGTGAACCGTTATAATTAGTTGCAGTGCTAAAAAATAAAAAAGAATTAGTGGGTCGTTAGAATTAGTCCCAATTGTTTGAAAGAAGAATGAAGCACGCCATTGTTCCACTCTTGATGCATGGAAGCGTTGCTTATTAATGGAGAAGAAGATCTTTTCATCATAAACATATATGGGGAATTCCAATTCAGTTTCTGTTACAGATGAAGAAGAAGGCAGTGTTCAAAGCCCACTTCTGGTAAAACATGATGGCATTGTTCAGCCAAGTGCAGGTTTCTTCAGCAAACTGACCTTCCAAGTAATCCACCATCCACGTCAAATGCACCTCACAAGTTTAGTTGACTTTGAAGTCATTTTTTAAAATTTAAAGTGAAGTAAACTTGCGAGTTGCAATTGACGTGGGTCGGAGGTTTGTTGGGGTTGGGACTAAGTGGGGAGTGTTTACTGGGAGGCAGGAAATATCAAATTTACGAATGGAGCACCGCAAAAAGGCAGTGACTTCTGTGGCCACTCAAACAGAGTGGCCATGGAACCTTGCCGTTTTACTAATGACCAAATAAAACTTGGATTTTGGATTGCTTTGATTTTCTCTAATGAGTATTTACCTATCCTTCCTAATTCCTCAAACCAAAGATAGTGTTAATCTTTTCTTGATGGAAAATGTATTCTTTAACCAAGTTTACTAAGGAGTATAATAGATTTTGAAGCATAAAAGGATGTCACTTTCGAAAAACAATTACGAGTAAAAATACAGCCAGGTAAGTTTAGGCATGCAAAGATTGTGACATAGGTTTATGGCTTCATGCAAAGCTTGTCCCCTAGTTTTATGGTTGCTTGCAAATCCTGTATAAATAAGGAAAATTCCAAACAAAATTTTATTCCAAAATTGTATTCAAATCAAACACCTACTCTATCTAGATCATGTCTTCCCCTTTCAGTATTTTTGGTATACTACTCATTTTCCTTGTGATCATAGGAAGGACCTCCTCTACTTCTAGGGAGGTTTTGTGGGTAAATGGAGTTCCCAACTTTCCAATGCACCCCACGATCAACTCCACGGAGGGTGATCGAATAGGCCGTTGAATTGAGGGGTTGGTGGCAGAAGAATGCCCCAAAGGGGACCGTAAGCTTGTGACACAGTAAAAACCTGTCGTCGTTTAGGGCACTGAAGCCCTGGAATTTGTAGCTCCCTTTGGGCGCACCCTGTAACCCCGGGAGGGAAGTCCCAGTGATCAGATTGGGGTTTCCCTCCCTCAAACTCTCCACAATGAGAGACGCCATTGCCTGCAAAGAGGTCATGCAAGCCTGGAATTTCTCATTGGTCAGTTTATTCTTCTTCTCACATCCTTCCAGCATCACCTTAATGACCCGTGCGGCGATAGAATTGGGGTCAATGGAGCAGCGTTGGATGATATGGTCAAAATTGGCTGATGATAACTCTGGGGGTGGGGGTGGGGTTGAAGGAACTGCATTGGAGGGAATGTTGTTGTTCTTGTTCTTTTCGGGTTCATCGTGGCAATGTTCTGGAATAAAACCGCTCCGGGATCCAACCAGAAGTTTACTTTTTAAGAAGAAGGCGTGATTCCCTAATGAATTTTCATCCGGCGTTTCCTTTATGGCCGGTATTTCATAATCCTGAGGGATGACAAACAGGTGCTTGGTCATGCCACCGTCATCACCTACACATGCATAGTTCGAATATCAATTAGTTAATTTATGCCAAACACTTTGTGATCCAGTAACTCCCAAATGAGGGGTCATATTCAAGTGGCTACATTACATGAGTAATGTATTAATATTCATATTCAACTTTTTGTTCACATTTTTATTCAAATAAAAAAAATGAAATTGCATTCACATTCATACAAAAACGTTGGTATTTAAACTCGTACCCAAGCAATCGATGTGTTAAATAACCATACCTCCTAAGAAAGATTGTCTAACAATCTCAGGAATTGGAAAGTTGGGAGCTTCATTTACCCATAAAACCTTCCTAGAAGTAGAGGAGGTCCTTGCTATGATCACAAGAAAAATGAATAGTATACCAAAAATACTGAAAGGGGAAGACATGATCTAGAGCAGGTGTTTGATTTGATTACAATTTTGGAATAAAATTTTGTTTGGAATTTTCCCTATTTATATAGGATTTGCATGCAACCATAAAACTAGGGGACAAGCTTTGCATGCAGCCATTAACCTAGGTGACAATCTTTGCATGCCAAACCTAACCTGGCTCACAATCTTTGCATGCCATAAAATTGCTTTTCACCATTTTACTCTTTTTTTTTCCATGCCCTTTCTTTTGCTTCCACTTGTCTTTTCCTCTCTAACCCAACAACAAAAAATGGTTTCCACATTATTTTCTTTTTTTTCTTTTCCCTATCAAAATCCTCTAACCAAGCATGGGGTAAGGGTACCCTAAAGAACACAATTGAAACACAGTAGTTTAACTTTAAGAGTGACTTTTTAAATTTTGTGTTCATTGTAATTTTTGAACTAATTCTGAAAATTTGAAAGGAGTGTTCTGGCTATATCACCACATACTCTTCCACAGTTCCACCCCTTGAGTGCATTCAAAACAATACAGCAAATTGAAATTGTCAGCATATAAGGGCAATTTGATGGTCCTTTTAATTTCATTTAGTTTTTTTTCTTTTTGTTCTTCATTGTTCTATTTTGTGTTTTTTTAAACAATAGAAAATTGACTTTCATAAAATGTTTAATCATTCCTGGGTGTGCCTACAAATTAAACCTTATTCTTATCACTTTAAGATTTAGCACTTATAAATTACTCCCTCCGTCCCAGAAAACATGGAAGTTTTGATTTTGAAGATGGATTTAAGGGGAGTATATTTTAGTATTGAATTTCCAAAAATGGCCTTTGATGTGATGCGTAAAAGTATGATTTGATGGATAGATTATTAGTAAAAAAGTATGATGTGATAGGTAGGGTATTAAAAAGTAAGGGGTGAAAGTGACTTTTTAATATAAATGAGAAGTATTTTTTGGGAGGGATGAAAAAAGAAAGGAGAAAGGTTTTCAGGGACGGAGGGAGTATATAGATAGGATAAATAAAGGTTGATCCCAATTACAAGAGAAAAGATGTTTTTTAAATTTAAAAATAAGTTCACTTATGTCCCTTTTTTAATAAAAAATAACTATTACGGAGTAATATATATTGAAACAGATAACTTATAAAACTTAAAATGAAGTACTTATAAATAAAACTTATACTCTACTTATAATTTGAAAATAGATTTGTTTATCAACTTATAATATAACTTATCTAAAACACAGAAACTATAATATAGTTTACATAATATACCAGACTTGGGGTTTTTTTTAGAAATAAATGTCAAAGATATATAAAATATATATATAAATAAAAATATAGACGACACGGACACACAACGACAACAGCTAGATCAAGAACTCAGAAGTAGACTCCAAGGAAGAAGAAATAACCACGTAAACTTAAAAGACTTAAAACAATAATTAGGAACTTAAATTGTTTTGGAAATACCTATAGTTTGATAGAAAAGAATTGACCAAATTGGATTCTTTAATTAATCAAGCAAAATTCTAAGAGTAGATTGTTAATAAAACACAAGGTTATGTCAAAGAAAGGGTCCCCAACGATTCTTCTCTATTTTCCCATTCATAATAGCCCTACTATCTTAGCTATCCAAAGACCAACCCTAACATTGCTGCTAAGAATTGTGCAATAAACTCTTTAAAAACATCATCATAAATTTGCAAAATTGCACTAACACAAAAGTTATTCCCTACCATATTTTTTCTGTGCAGGTTGAGCCGGGGTCTCTTGGAAACAACCTCCCTACTTTCGAGTAGGGGCAAGGTCTGCGTACACACACCCTCCCCAGACCCTACTGTAGTGGATTCAACTGGGTTGTTGTTGTTGCACTAACACAAAAGTTAATTAACAAAGTCAGTTTGAAAACCTTGATTAGCAAAGACGAGTTAACAAGCCAGCTAAGTACTAACAAACTAACACTTGTGTTTGAAAGTACTCTGTTATTTAAAGCACTTTGGAATTGAAAAGCATGTCAACTTAAATTGAATTAGGACGTGATTCTAATTTGGTCCAATTTAAGTGAAATTGGCTGAATAATTAATTCCCAAAACACCTTTTTAATTTATTACCAAAAGGAGTAGACAACATTAGTACGGAGTATAAAGCTAAAATCTCTTAATAGTCAAATTACTTCAAAAATAGCGATCTTCCCCAAGATTTAATCTTTCCTATCAAACAGTTCAATCTTCACATATACTACGTATTTAAACATACTAATTGTAAGTCAAGCAATCAACACACAAACGAGAATAGAAATTGGAATTCATGGAATCAGGAGCGCATAGATACCAAAAATCTGAAAATCTACTGTAATCGTAAAATCAAAAGAAAAAAATGAAATGTAAAGGAAAGGGGAAACCTGATTTACCCCCTTAGGATATCTTTCCGTTCGCTGGCTGGCTTTCTAATGCGAATCCTGCGATATGTGTGTCCAGTCGTCGACGGTGGTTTGGTCTCCGATGCAGGTCCGCCGCAGTCCATGGCCAAAAACTAGGGTTTGAAACCCTACACTGGCGTCGTCCTCCTTGCCGATCTGCTGCGTTGATGATGTTCGAGAGCGCTGCATCCTTGCGATGAGATCATGAGATGTCCTGGTTCTCTACCATCTGGACTCTAATTCACGTTTAGGTTCCTTTCTCTACAATGTAACTATGTAAGAGTACTTTCATCTAAATAACAATGACTTTTGTTTGTAAATAAGTTTTTTTTGTTGCCTTTTCTTTTGTAATATTTTTGAAATATTTTTGAACGATATAATTTATATTTTTTCTAAATCAATATTTAATTAAAACAATTTTAAAAATTATAGACTTTTACACATAATATGGAGCGCGTCATTCATTTTTGGGAGAGTGATAGTATTTCAAATGTCTAAAAAAGTGAGAAGGAAAATATTAATTTCAACGAGGTAATTCCATACTCACTGGCTTAGAGAGTCATTTCCATTGCTACTGCCTTTTAAGAGCACCTACGGTGTTCTGTTCACAAAATCAATAGTTTCCACCTCACCTAATCACCTCGTTAAACCCACCAGGGCAACCCTTGTCATAATCCCTCCAACATCACCTAATTACCCTCGTTGGAACCCAGATTAACTTTAATAGTGATCGGATAGGCAGGGTAATGCCCTATCCTGGCATTACGTTGTGTTTCCAGCGACTGGTGCTAATATGACACGCGGCCGTTGAGTTGCTGGGTTGGTGGCAGAAGAATGCCCAAAGGGGAGCGTAAGCTTGTGACACAGTAAAAACCTGTTGTCGTTTAGAGCATTGAAGCCCTGGAATTCGTAGCTCCCTTTGGGCGCACCTTGTAACCCTGGGAGGGAATGAAGTCCTAGTGATCAGATTGGGGTTTCCGTCTCTCAAACTCTCCACAATGAGAGACTCCATTGCCTACACAGAGGTCACACAAGCCTAGAATTTTTTCGTGATAATATTTCATTTCATCACTGTAACTGGACACAGTACGGTTCTTGTCGAATTTTACAGAACCGGTGCTAGCGTCGAAACCGGCAGTTTCGCCACTAGAAACGATGACGGAGACGATGAAATGATATGGAGGACCGAACCCAGAAATTTCTGTTTCTTTTATGTCTTTCCTACGACCCTTGCAAATTTGGTGGGCCATAGGGAGCGTCTCCAACGGCAATATAGCCGTTTGGAGGGGGTGGGGGTTTGGGAGGTTATTTTCACCTATAGATACTCTCCTATATAAACTCTTTCGAAGGTTTCTTTACGATTTTTTACCTCATTATTTTTTTTTTGAATTGTTAAAATAGTAAATGCAATTGTTTTTGTACTATCCATTTTTCATCATTTAAATAACAACTATATTTTAAGATATTATAATTCATAAAAATTACTCCGTATAAATTTCTTTTACTTTTACACTTACACATTTATAAATTATCACCAAAAAATAATTAAAAAAATTGAAGGCAGAACAAACCGGCCTGGTATGCTGTCAGTAGCGCCGGTGCGGGAACTGGCGTTGGCACCCTCTACACCGGCGCCAGTAATAGTTCCATTGGGTGGCGGTACTGGAATTTAGTGTCCACCCAATAAAGTCTAATGTAATTCTCATACCAAAATGAAGAATACATTTTTTTAAAGTCTAAAATAAAGATTCTACTTTTCACCTTTTAGTTATGAAATGAAATATTGGATTCATAATATTTCAATCTTCTACACAAATTTTAAGAAAATACTTTTTATGTTGAATATTTTATACGTACTTATAATGACAAACAATAAATATGACAGAACATTTGAAAATGATAAAAATATGTGGGAAGTTAATTATGATGGAAGTTTATAAATTTTAATTTCAAATGTAAATTGTGACATTTTTTTGGCATGGATGATCAAGAATGATTGGAAAGGTATAATGGAGTTTCCATTATGGACCAGTGGAGTACAAAAGTGAACATGTCTCCAAAAAAATCATCAAATTTTATGAAAATTCCAAAAGATCCAAAATGATGGCCTTCCGATATGATGAAATTCCACATCCTCTTTTCCGGCGAGAATTTTACCTCATTCCCGCCCTCCTATACCTTTCTTTTCTTCCTTTCCGGGCCGCCGCCGGCAATGATTTCCCGATCAACGTCTGGCCCAAGCCCATAACCTTCCACTGGCCCAGTCTTCGCCAAACTCCGCTTAGCCCAAATTTCACTGTTCACTCTCCCGCCCATCCCTACCTCGCTCCCGCCGTAAGTCGTTACATCCACGCCGTCCTGACGGAGCGCCACCACCCGGTAGTCCCGCCTGCACTGAACGCCGCGCCGTCGTCTCCGCCGCTCGAATACCTGAAGATTACCGTCTCAGACGCCGAGGCTCCGTTGGCACACGGAGTCAACGAGTCTTACGCTCTCTCGATTCCGGACGGCGGCGATGGCGGCGCTTTCCTCTCGGCTCACACGGTATGGGGCGCGATGCGCGGCCTGGAGACTTTCTCGCAGCTCGTGTACGGCGACCCGGCCCGGGTGGCCGCCGGACTGTACATTTCAGACGCGCCGCTGTTCCCTCACCGTGGAGTGATGCTGGATACTTCGCGGAATTTCTACGCGGTCGAGGATTTGTTGAGATTGATCAAGGCAATCAGTATGAACAAGATGAACGTTTTCCACTGGCACATCACGGACTCGCATTCGTTCCCGTTAGTGGTGCCGTCGGAGCCGGAGCTGGCCGGCCGCGGCGCTTATGGGGAGGAGATGAAGTACTCCCCGGAGGATGTCCGGAAAGTGGTAGAATTCGGACTTCAACACGGCGTTAGGGTTTTGCCTGAGATTGACATGCCTGGTAAGGTTACCGGTATATGCTTGCTTCCCAATTTGGTTCTGTAGTTGAAGCTACATTGATGGATGATCCAGAGATTATTACTGTTTTATATAACTTCTTTCATCAACTCTAATCATAAGTTTGAATTTTTGGTTGAGTTAAAGTTTACCACTGACTTGGTATCGAAGCATTGTCGACTTAAGGTTTATGAGTTCCAATCTCGTTGTAATTCATGTTAAAAAGTGTAGTGTTCATGTGCAAAGCTGAAGCAAACAAATCTTGTTTGACATGAGAATGGTTTTAGAGTTAGGGTCACAATTGAGGTATCCTTAGCAAGATTGGGTGTAAAGAAATCAACCTAAATATGAGTAAAACATAGTATATATCTTCAAAATAAAAGTCCAATGTTTTTATATCCAAATAAGAGTTTGCAGTATGATATTATGGCACTGTATAGTGGCATCCCACTATATTTTTTAGTACTATATTTAGGCAATATTGGGATTATGGGGATAAAAAACGTGGAACTCCTATTTTGGTACTTTCTTCATGTTTTACTCCTAGTTTGGTCATTTTCCCTTCAGAGTGTATACCCTCTCATAGTCCTGAACTTCTGGTTAAATCAGCTTCCTTACAATTACAATAAGGTGGGATTACTATATTTATTGATGCTAATATTTTGGTTTGGCAATATTGAAGGGCACACAGGATCATGGGCAGAAGCTTACCCTGATATAGTCACATGTCCAAACATGTTCTGGTTGTCTCCAGGGAGCAACACAGCTCTGGCAGCAGAACCAGGAACTGGCCAACTCAACCCGTTGAACCAGAAGACCTACCAAGTCGTCAAGAATGTCATCCGTGATGTCACAACCATGTTCCCAGACACATTCTATCACGCCGGAGCGGATGAGATCAATGCAAACTGTTGGAACACCGATCCATCGATCCAAGAATTCGTCTCAGACAATGGGACACTAAGTCAACTGCTCGAGACTTTCATAAACTCCACTCTGCCTTACATCGTCTCATTAAACCGAACCGTTGTGTACTGGGAAGATGTCTTGTTGAGTGATGACATCAATGTGACAACCTCTTCTCTTCCCAAAGAGAACGTTGTGTTGCAGACATGGAACAACGGGCCAAACAACACAAGGAGAATCGTGGAAGCTGGATATCGTGTGATTGTTTCCTCAGCAGACTTTTATTACTTGGACTGTGGGCACGGGAGTTTTCTGGGAAATGAGAGCCGGTACGATCTGCCACCTGGAACTGAACAGGGCAACGGTGGGTCATGGTGTGGGCCCTTCAAGACATGGCAGCTAATTTACAACTACGACATAACCTACGGGTTGAGCGACGAGGAGGGGAAATTGGTTTTGGGAGGGGAGGTCGCGTTGTGGTCCGAACAAGCAGATGCAACTGTTTTGGATTCGCGGGTTTGGCCAAGAGCTTCAGCAATGGCAGAATCTTTGTGGTCTGGGAATAAAGATGAGGCAGGGAAGAAGAGGTCTGCAGAGGCTACAAACCGGCTGAATGAATGGAGGTACAGGATGGTTGCACGAGGTATAGGTGCTGAGCCCATTCAGCCTCTTTGGTGTGTCAAAAACCCTGGAATGTGCGACGCTGTTTACCCCTTTTCTGCATCTCGATAAATTGTTCGCGGTAATTATTCTTTTGAACAATTATTATTATTATTATAGTTCATCAATCCATAATAAACTTGTTTTCCTTTAGAATTTCTTTTGTTTCCATTTCATTTTTTCTGCTTTCCCTTAGTTTTTTGAATCGACTATCATGACTTTCTTGATATCCTTAGATAGGAATGCCTTGAGATCTTGAATTAGAATAGTTGACTTTTTGAAAAAGCAGAAGTGTTAAGTCAGAAGGGAATAATAGTTATCTCTAGCTTTGTTGAAAAGCACTTCTGCAGCTTAATATACACTTTTGAAGTTATAATTCATAAGCTAAAGCAGATCCAAAAACACTTAAAACTGAATTTTTGTGAAATAGAAATGCAAAAATTATTCTCAGGGGCACTCAGAAACACACTCTAAAAGAATCAGCTGCAGCTTTCTTGAATACTATATGTAACAGATGCTTATTTCACATATATTGATACTCTAAACCATTACAAAAAAAGGACATAAACAAAAGGGAGCTGGTCATGGACATCTAGAGTTTCTACCAGGTCCTCCATAGTAAAAATAACTCCCCCATCTAGCATTCCTACCCAGCTTCACATCATAGCAGTTGGAGTTCTCAGTGAAAGTGTCAAGACCATCTGGGTCCCTCAAACCGTTTGACTCGTCGACTACCTTAAT